CCCCAAAACCCCAAAACCCCAAAACCCCAAAACCCCAAAACCCCAGATCAACTATTAATAATAGAAAAGTAATGGAGCTCACAAAAGAGGAAACTGGCATTGACAAAATATCAATCATTATGCTAGGTGATGCTGGGGTGGGCAAGTCCTGTATCTCAGTCACCTTCAAATCAGGTCAGGGGGCTGCTCAAAAGGTAGACACCACCATTGGGATAGACCTATGGACCAAGGTAGTGGCAATAGATGACAAATAAATTAAAAGCAGTTATCTACGACACTTCAGGCCAAGAACGGTACAGGTCGATCCCCAAAAGTTATATCAGGAAAGGCGATGGCATCGCCTTGGTCTACGATATAACCAGCAGGAAGAGCTTCGACTCTTTAGCCTGCGAGAAAGATAGCTGGCTTAATGAGGTTGAGTCCTTGAGGGACGACAAGCCGCCTCTGATTGTTATGGGGAATAAGAGTGACCTGGGAGAGGCCAGAGAGGTCACAGAGAAGGAAGGCATTGAGTTTGCAGAGAGCATTGGAGCGTTCTTTACGGAGACTACTGTGATGGATTCGAAGGTTATTGGTAAGCGGGAGGGACATTTGGGTGGTGGATAATACTATTGGAGATAGGGTGGGGTTTGGAAGCGAAGTTTGTAAGATTTTTGGAGATTTGGAATTTTGGATTTTTCGTTTCGCATTGCTCTAATTAGAAATTTATTGTTTTATTCATTTATCTCCTTTTTTTGGATATTATAGGTGAAAATTTTGCATCATTTGTATGAACTCCAATTGTAGAAGATACCTTAAAATTCTACAGTATCTTTCCAAATTTATCACAAACTACAGCTTTTTAATATCACAAGTCAAAATTTTTACCTAATAAAAGCGTGCTTTTCAAGCATGGACCCTCCTTAATACTATCCTCGTTGGATTTGCCTCTTTCTTGTTATGTCCTAACATTGTGTAGATTCAGCTTTTCAGATCCTGATAAAGACAGTTTATATCAAGAAGAATGCTGACGGGCTCCAACAAGGAAGCTCTTTTCGTTCAAGAGCCAATTCTACAAGTAAGTTCTTGAATTTTAGCTGTAGAGCTCCATTCCAAACGTGCTGCAAAACAGAAGAAGACAGCCTCTTCATGTAAGCCAAACGGTTGAAAAATAACTTTGTTTAGGAAGCAGCTGTGCTTGCTCATGCAAACCTGAAAAGGAACCAAAGTTTGAGATTTAATATACCCTAAAAGAGGTATTCTGCTCCAAGGTCAACTTTGCAGCGTCTGTACTACTCTAAAATTCTTCATAAAATTCATGAATTCATTCTGGGCTTATCCAATTCCGAATCTTCTTAAAGCCTTAAGCTAAAATTCCAAAATAGTGGTTAATTTTGTTCAGGGGAATTTTTAAAATTTTTGAACAGTTAAGAACCTGTGGAGAAGGAATTTTTAGGCGGTTTGAGGGAATAGGGGGTTTGAGAGGTTGAAGGAGAACTTTGGTCTGACCAATTTTTACAGGGTGTAAGGTGAGGATACATATTTCATTGATGTCAACTTTAGCAGTTGAAAAAGGGGTTTTGGGGTTTTGGGGTTTTGGGGTTTTGGGGTTTTGGGGTTTTGGGG